TCTCCAAGTTTTTGTGTAAGCTGCTGGGGAATGATTGTGTTGAATGAAACTGAAGTCTAGGAACAGCATTCACACATAACAGTTCTTTGAATCTAGGTGGGTGAGGGCTGTTTGGAGAACAGCAGTAATGGCATCCTCTGTGGACCTGTTTGACCTGTATGCAAACTGAAATGGGTCATGAGAGGGAGGAAGGATGGACTTGATGTTCTGCATGACCAGCGGCTCGAAGCACTTCATAATAATTGAAGTCAGTGCTACAGGCCGATAGTCATTGTAACTGGTTGGGTGGGGCTTCTTTGGAATTGGAATTATTGTGGCGGCCTTGAAACATGTGGGAACAACCGCTTGGCTCAGAGAGATGCTCCTCGGCACAGTCCTTTAAAACACGGCCAGGTATGTTGTCCGGTCCAGCTGCCTTGTTAATCCTGGAGAGGGTCTTCTTCACGCTGGCTGCGGACAAACACAAAGCCTTTTTATAAATTTACTTAAACCCTGTGAAACATTTTAATAGAGTTAAATATAAACACTGTCCAACAGAATTTTATAAAACCAGTCAAATGATGTAACTCAAACTGTCACACCAACCTTTCTCCTTCTGATGAACGTATTTGTTTAAAACAGTTTTCTGACTTGATTCCTGTTTCAACATCAGTCTGTGTCTATAAATATCAGGACTGCATGGAAAAGGGAAGTGACATGAGTAAGTTGTCTGTCTGACTCGTTCTCCATCCATCTGCGGGACACACGACAACATGCTGTCGCTCCTTCTTCACAGTTTCGCCTCTGTCTGCATCCTCACAGGTGAGTCTTACCTGAAGATGAACACAGACCAGACGTCTGCAGATTTGAGAGTGTATTAATAAGGATGAAGACCATGTTATACATGTTTTTCAGTTTACTATGGCCTGGATGACTGAGAATCTGCACAGACATGTTATACATTTACACACACACCTCACATGGTGTGGGTCAAAGGGCTGTTCTGCTGTGTTTCAGAGTGAAAGCTGTAAAACATGACTGCTAAAGGCAGAGCAATTCAGTCAAAATGCTTAAAATGAAGACAGACATTTCTCTACCAGAATTTGAGTAAATAACATTTTGATTTAGACAATTAGGCAGGGAGATAAAATATGAAGAAAACAGAAAAGAAGAAATAAGACTGAAACTAGGAGTTAAAGAAATAAATATTAGGTGAATAAAAAATCAGTTTACCAAGTTTTATAGTGTCTACTCCAATGTTTCTTTATCCCAAACCTGCATTTATATGTTTGTGACAAACACAGTCTGAGCTGCTGTAACTTGAAATGTTTAGAGTTTAAAAGAAATATTAAAAAGTGATTCTCAACTAGTAGTACTTGTTACCTCAGAGGGTCACTCTGCAGGTACAGAAATATGATGAAGAAATACAACGCATTTAAATTCAGGCCACCGCTCTGTTCAGACTGGATTCTATCTGCTGTGGAGGTCGGTTTAGCCTGGGTCAGTCCACATGTAGTCACAGGGTCCCCACTACCAGCAGCAGGCGAAGCAGTGAGCAGCTCCTGGGTGGACGTCCAGACACCTGCCACTGGATCATGGGACACTGAGGGAAGCTTAGTAACAGCAGGTTCTGCTGCCTCTGTTTTCTCTCTCGGCTCTTGGAGGTTTGTTGTGGAGGGACATCAGCGGTGAAGAGATCCTCAGGAGGTGGATGTCACACTAAGTCAGACCAACATGTGTTTCTGTGTGTTCTCACTGACTTGGGACCAGTTTGGACTCTAATCCACCCGAGATCCTCAGGAGGTGGACGTCACACTAAGTCAGACCAACATGTTTCTGTGTGTTCTCACTGAGTTGGGACCAGTTTGGACTCTAATCCACCTCGCTCATGGTCTCTGCCTCCCCTCAGGATGTATTTGTGAAAACGTCACGTCACGTCAATACAGTTTCATACAGCAGCTTCTAGTGGATGATAAAGAACTGCAGGAAAAAAGATGTTTGAATTTCAGCTTTTAAAACTCTAAAACCTCAGAATTTGACGAGCATGTCTGGTCTTGCTGGTATTTCATTCTTATTTAACTTGTGTGTGTGTGTCAGCGT